AGATAGATAGATAGATAGATAGATAGATAGATAGATAGATAGATAGAATAAAGTGGCTTATCTATTTTTTTACCAGAAGAGGTCTCTCTTGAACTACAACATTGATCTAAATCATTAGAAAATTAAATTCCCACAAAGGATTAGATACCTTAATAAGTGCAAAATGACCGTCTACAGGCAACATTACTGTATCTGCATCTTTACCTGTAGGTCTCCCTATCCCTTGCCTGTATGTACTGTATGCGATGTAGGCTGGAGAAGAACTCTGATTATGCAAACATACCATTGTCTGATCTGCTACAGAAATTATTTCAAACTGTTCTAATTTAGTATTTCTTTCCTATCTTATCCAAAATCTTGATAGGCTTCACCAATTGCAGAAGTATCTTTAGTTCCTGCTTTTCATGATTTCGTCTCTATTGTGATAAATGCATATGAGCCTCAAAATTAGGAAAATATAAAGAACTGATGCTGAGAACCAGGTTGAATGGGCTGAATGGGTTCAATTATCCTCAGCTACACTACAATTTCTTAACTTATAACATTAGTCATTAATACTTGAACAATTGGCTCTCGCCTCATAATTAGGAAGCTGTCAGTTCGATCCTAGGTAGAGGCTAATATTTGGAATAGACTCTCCTGCTCGAGCTGGAGTTGGACTAGATGACCTCCAAGGTCCCTTCCAACTCTGTTATTCTATGTTTAATTTCAGATATCAATTATTAATGCTCCTCATTGTAACTATACAGCCACGGAGCAACTGGGAGTCTGTTTCTTAACTTGAAAATGCTTAGAAAGTTTTCTTTCCTTTCTTCCTGTGAAGAACAGTGGGAATTCAAGTCAGCTATAAATAAAGATGCTTGCAGCAGATAGGTGAACAATGGAATTGACATTAATGAAATGCAGCCACCACTGCAAACTTAAATCTCTTTGGAAGGTAAGAAGAGTCATGGAAGGCAGGGCTATCAGTAACTAGTGAGAAAGATATTGATGGATCAGGACATCTAAGATCAGCAATACCAAGCTTCACATTTCTAGTGGAGGAGAGGGTGGGGGGGAATGAATTACTGTCTTCAAACTTCCAATTGGTGCTTCTGCTAGGCATCTGGCTGTCCATGTGGGCTGGGGAAAAAGAAAAGATGCAGGATTGCACAGCTTTTTAAAAAATTCAGCTTTGAGGTTCTTCTGATCATTTTATGTGTCAAGAAATCACATATCAGCATTCTGCAACTGGGACACTGTCCAGATGTACTGATTTGCAACTTCCAGAACTTCCAGCTACTGGACTCAGGAATATAGGAATTTCTGGAAGCTCCATGAAACATTTTCCAGTATCTTTGGATTATAACTCTACATGATCTTCCATAGCTTTGGAAGAAATACAATCTAGTGTCTATATACTTGCAAAACATAGATATGATTTTTCCTTGCTTTAACAAAGCAAAAACCAAACAAAATTAGCATGATTATTATTAGCATAGGGTGTTGTTACATTAGTCAGGAGACTACAATGCTAACACAGAATAGTAGTTTGACTCCCAATGACACATCTTTCCATATGGATAAATGCAATAGTCCATTTGGATAACTGGGAAACATGGCTTCCACAAACATAAATCTGTGCTCGTTATTGAATTCTTTTGAATGCCAGAGGTAAAATCTAACCTTTATTTCTGGTTTTCAACAACCCTGAAATATGACATCCAATCTTGGAGAATTACTACTTATTTAAATTCAGGATAGTCATATAAAGCAGATTTGGATGTAGCTATAGATCATTGCAATCTTTACCATTTTCCTGTTAGGGGAAAACGTACAAGTTAAACCATTCATTTGGTCCACAATGCAGTGCCATAGGCAATCATGGGTACATTTCGCTTTTTTCATGTTACACGTTTGCTCAGCAAGCTACACTGTCTTCCAGTTTGTTTCTTGGTGCAATTCAAGGTGCTATTTATTACTAAGAAAGCTGTACATAGCATGGAGCCAGAATATTTGAAGGACAGTTTTGATCCCATTGTATTTACTCATCACATAGGCTGGACCAAAGGAGCATTCTTCAATTCATCTATTAGTGATTGTCATTTAATAGGACCTAGGAAATGGTTCTTTTCTGTAGATGCCCCTGATACCTGGAAAACCATACAGTACTGCCTGTGGTTCAGCTCAGCCTGACTCTGCTGGTTTTTTTTTAAAAAAAACAGGAATCGGGGTCAGAGGAACGATCAAGCCATGCTATTGGTATATGGTTGTCTTTGGAAGTCACTTTGTGTTAATCGGTTAACCAATTAGGAAGGATGTTTTTCATTTTTATTTATTAAAATATGCATGTATTTATATTGTATTCCTGTTTGACACTTAGAACTGAATTGGTAAGATGAGTGGCTGAATCAATGAAAGAATGAATGAAGGAAGGAAGAAAGGAAGGAAGGGATGAATGAATAAATTTGTAACCATAGCAAGGAGGAATCATCAAGTATTTTAATAGATAGACTAGGTTTTTTTCTCAACTATATAGTGCTGTTTTCAGTGATACTTAGTCCATGGTAGTGCTTGTAAAATAACTGTTATATAGCAGAAACTGTGTTGAGAGGACACAATCTAATATAATGATATGGCTCTGTTTTGAATTATAGATTGGTACAGGGGATACTTGGTCAGGCATAAAGAAACTGAGGTGAGTTTGTCCTATTATCATCATCATTATTATTACTGAAGTATTAGTGTTGCAACTTCCTTTTTCTCTTTTGTACAGAGGCAAATAGTAAGGAGAGAATTATCTACTGGGTAGAACAATTTTATATATTGATACTCTAAAGCAAACCCCACTGATTTGATCCTATGTAGGCATGTACAGGATTACAATCTTCATGTGTTTTGATTGGGCAATATTTAAATAAGCAATTCATTTATCTGAATTTTTTTTTTTTTGCTTTCCTTCAGGGAGCTTAAGTTTTTCAATATTAACAATATTTAATTTATTTTAACCAAGATTAACATTAATTTAGGAAATCTTTACACTTTACCTATCAAGATATTAAGTCTGGATTTGAATGAAATTCAGGTTTTTAGATTGACTCCTGATCACAGGAAATTCATTGATTGGAAATATTATATGCTATACCTAAATACATGGCTCTCAAATGACTAGGAAAGAATAAAGAAAGGAAAGAACTTTACTTAAGCTAAATTATTTTGCATAACATCAACAAACTTTCTAAGATCAATTTTGAATGTAAGATATCAACAGAGGCTGAAAAGAGTGGACTTACTTCACATCCAAGTTCATCTGCATTATATTATAGTAGACTCTTTAACTTAGTAAAAAAGATTTGTTATCCAGTATTATTTACTATCATTGGCAGACATTCCTCTTATCACATCCTTGATCTTTTCAAAAGGAAAAATCAGAGAATGCATTTGGGATGTTCAGCATGTGTTGTTGGGGTATCATTTGGCCAGGCATGATCAAAGATCGGTGGCAAAATAAGTTAGGTACTATGGGCAGTGCTCAATGGGTAGTGCTCTTTTGTAAACCTGGCAAAGTATGGAACATTATAATAATACTTTAATTCAATCTTGTAGTTCAATTACTAAAGTATCATAGCTTCACCAGAGTTGCCTTTTAAATGTCTACTTGCATAGCATTGACTTTTCAACTGTTCAAGGAAGATATATTTTGGGAAATATAACAGCTGTGTTTTTCCCTTCAATTCTAACAGGGAATATTTCCAAAATCTTTTATCCACATCAAAGAAATTGCTGCTGAGAAGAAAAGGTATTATAGATAACATACATTTGCTAGATGCCTTATTTTGGGAAACTAAGAACACGATGTCTTTTGGTTGTTGTAAAGCATGGTAGCAAAACTGGAAAGGCTCTTCCTATTGTTTAATACTGAATGTTCAGATTAAAACTATTGGGAGGCCTATTGTCTTTGAAAGACCTACAAAAGTTTATCTGAAGAGTAGCTGGAGTAGTGCTGTATTATATGAATTTTCCATCTAACTCAAGTACATAATTTTTATATGAATTCCACTTTTAGATGTAGATAAAATGGCATACCTTAATTGTGATAAAAAACCCACACAATTAAAAATGATCCTCAATGAAACAGACTTTTATCATGAAATATATTTACCCATGGTTAGCAAGCAACGTATCATGCTCATTTAATTGGTCAAGTAAAAACAAACCACATTTTTATCTAATAGGATGGCTTGGTTCATACAAGTTGTTAAGCTATAAAGGGATTCGATTAGCATTTTCTTACCCATTGTTTGTTTTTAAACCATGTTTTATAGTTTAGCTTATTGAGTGAATGGAGTCTATGTTTGCAGAACAGTAATTAGTAGACAGTCATTTATCCATCCAGACCATGTTTGCCAGTCATGGTCCATCCTGACTGTGTTTGAAAGTCCAAAAAGCATGAGAAAGTATTTGAAAATCTTGTGGTTAGGTATAGGTAATCAGTAGTCCAGGGTTACAATGTTTTCATTTAAACCTATTTCTTCTACATCTTTTCTGATCTCATTCTTTCATCTCCTTCTGCTATTGCTCAGCACTGCATTTACAAGCAAATATTCATGAGATGTATGGAACATCTAGTATAGAATGGCCTAAAGGCCAGAGAAGCCTGTCTGAGAGTCAATTTAGGATTGTCTGTCTCAAATATCTATGTGAGATGTTTATTATGTGAGATGTTTAATTATGGACTCAGCAATCATAGCTGACAGTTCCACTTCTAATTCTCCACTCGGCCTGCTGATCACATGTATAATGTTAAATTGTATTATTTGTCCTTTGGTTCAGAAATGCAGAAAATGTAATACCTGCTGAGATTCCATTGGTACAAGAGGTTACCAGCACATTATGGGAATGGGGTAACATTTGGAAGCAATTGTATGTGGTGAGTTATTCTTCCTTTCTTGCAGGGAAATTTTATGACTGCTGGGAAGAAGCTTTAGTTGCATTAAGTGCCATGTCAGTGGGCTTAGTTATCCACCAAGCCAATGTATTTTGCATTTAATTTTATGAATATATAATTTCTCTGAAAGTGCTGGTAAAGAAGAAATCCCTTCATTGCAAAAATTAGCTTCAATTATTTAAGAAGCTGTTGTGTAATTCCACTTTTGAGTGTTATGTGATTTCAACCTTTGAATGATCTTTAATGCACCATGCACAAATGCACTGCTAAGAGAAAGTGAAAGCTCCGGGTGATTTAGAACCTATAGCTTTTGCTTATGCAGAAAAACTGCTCTTATATTATTTCTAAACAGCTGACCGGCTTCTTTTTTAATGCACTGTATAACCTGTCCAATTTAAAGAAAATGAATTTTGGGCACCCAGGGATCACACCAATATAAAGTTTATTTTGGATAAAGGAGAGACCATTTCAAAAAAGAAGAAAACTTCTAGTGTATTTGCTATTGAGCTTCCATGTTCAATATATGGATGAGAATAATGAGAACAAGTCAAAGTAAACCACAGTTAAGCTGAAAAGCAAAAACCTAGAATATATCTTGAATTCATCTGGAAAGGGTCCAGAACATTTTGGCAATCCCTACTGTTTCTTCAACATAAGCAACCGATTGGTAATTGATTATACTTCAACAAAAGGTTCCAGAGGTAGTAGATTAATTTAAAAAGGACCCGACTAGCTTTTTAGTAGATCTCCAAGGAAGCAGAAGAGCCAGGTGGATCAGAAGGAATTATTGGAAAGCTGGCACAACTTAGAGCAGTTGCTTCATTTTCTCTGTAGTAGAGCTGGAGGCTCTAAAACATTTTTTTAATTAGGGGGAAAATGTCATTGTTGTGAAAGGAAGGATATTCTAGAATGCCTAGAGAGGTAGGTTCCTATGTCATATTCAGAAAACAATAATCCTTCTGCTGGAGTGCTAAGTTTTGGTTTATGCCAGCTTTTTCTATTATGTGATCATGCTTATGGTTTTACCTCTGTTTTGCAATAGTCCAGCCTACCTTCAGTCACAATAAAGCACTAAACATTTTCAACATAAATGAAAGTTTGTGTTTTAAATATCTATTATATTTTGATCCCCAGGGTTTTTGTAGATTGGGAAAAATAGTATCACTTCCACTTAGAGAAAATATACTGGTTCTGCTGTCATACAGGGGTTGCTTGACCACAGTGAGAAAGGGCAATTGAAATCTTAAATAAGCTGAAGTCTGAATTGTTTTCTCTTTCAGGCAAATAAAAAGGAACACTTCCGACAGGTACAAGTGATGATGTGCGAGTTAATGGAGTGGAGATCACAGCTCCTCTCGGGGACATTGCCCAAAGATGAACTAAAAGAACTGAAACAAAAGGTCACTTCCAAAATTGATTATGGCAACAAGTAAGTTCTGATGTTACTATCACTTTATTTTAGAAAGGGACTTACCTTGGGCAGATTGCAAACTGAGATTCCTTAGCATTGCTTTTAAGAACACTATAATACTATATATTATATGCACAGGTACAGTATAGATAGTACCTAGTTCAATAGTAGTAACTATGAGAGGGATCTTGGAGTCCTAGTAGACAATCACTTAAATATGAGCCAGCAGTGTGTTGCAGCTGCTAAAAAAGCCAGCACAGTTCTAGGCTGCATTAACAGAGGGATAGAATCAAGATCACATAAAGTGTTAATACCACTTTATAATCTCTTGGTAAGACACACTTAGAATACTGCATCCAGTTTGGTCATCAGGATGCAGAAAAATGTTGTGACTCTAGAAATAGTGCAGAGAAGAGCAACAAAGATGATTAGGGGACTGGAGCTAAAACATATAAAGAACAGCTCCTGGAATTAGGTATGTCTACTTTAATGAAAAGAAGGACTAAGGATAACATGATAGCAGTGTTCCAATATCTCAGGGTTGCCACAAAGAAGAGGGAGTCAAGCTATTCTCCACAGCATCTGAGGGCAGGACAAGAAGCAATGGATGGAAACTAATCAAATAGAGAAGCAACCTAGAACTAAGAAGAAATTTCCTAATAGTTAGAAATTAATCAATGGAACAACCTGCCTCCAGAAGTTGTGGATGCTCCATCATTGGAGGTTTTGAAGAAGAGATTGGACAACCATTTGTCTGAAATGGTGTAGGGGGTTGACTAGAAGACCTCCAATATCTTCTCTTCTCTTCTCTTCTCTTCTCTTCTCTTCTCTTCTCTTCTC